AAAAATAATTGACAGGTATACAGGTTAATAAAAGTGCTCCAGCCTGATGTAATGGCTGTGATGACATCATTGAAACAGTTTTAAATGATGACATCACATATACAGCTGTAATAGGAGACATGTATAGGTAACAGTGAGGTCATCCCTGACAGGTCAAGTAATTTTTTAGTGGATTCATTTTCTGTCATGTTCTTTTGATGGATGACAGGTATGTAAGCTTTGTAGCTACATATGTATGTAACTGTGCACCACTGTACAGTATGGCTACTTCAATTTAATTACAAAACTTTTACAGTCAACTACTTTCAGATTTTCAAAAAAATCTGTGAACATTTTATTTAATCATATAAGTTATTTTGTTGGTAATAACTAACAGGAGTTACATGGATGTTTAATTACAATCATGGTGTTGATAATAACTGGGAGGAGTTACATGGATGTTTAATTACAATCATGGTGTTGATAATAACTAGGAAGAGTTACATGGATGTTTAATTACAATCATGGTGTTGTTGATAATAATTACTAGATAATAACTAAGAGGAGTTACATGGATGTTTAATTACAATCATGGTGTTGATAATAACTGGGAGGAGTTACATGGATGTTTAATTACAATCATGGTGTTGATAATAACTAAGAGGAGTTACATGGATGTTTAATTACAATCATGGTGTTGATAATAACTAAGAGGAGTTACATGGATGTTTAATTACAATCATGGTGTTGATAATAACTAAGAGGAGTTACATGGATGTTTAATTACAATCATGGTGTTGATAATAACTAAGAGGAGTTACATGGATGTTTAATTACAATCATGGTGTTGATAATAACTAGGAGGAGTTACATGGATGTTTAATTACAATCATGGTGTTGATAATCACAAGGAGGAGTTACATGGATGTTTAATTACAATCATGGTGTTGATAATAACTAGGAGGAGTTACATGGATGTTTAATTACAATCATGGTGTTGATAATAACTAGGAGGAGTTACATGGATGTTTAATTACAATCATGGTGTTGATAATAACTAAGAGGAGTTACATGGATGTTTAATTACAATCATGGTGTTGATAATCACAAGGAGGAGTTACATGGATGTTTAATTACAATCATGGTGTTGATAATAACTAGGAGGAGTTACATGGATGTTTAATTACAATCATGGTGTTGATAATAACTAGGAGGAGTTACATGGATGTTTAATTACAATCATGGTGTTGATAATAACTAGGAGGAGTTACATGGATGTTTAATTACAATCATGGTGTTGATAATCACAAGGAGGAGTTACATGGATGTTTAATTACAATCATGGTGTTGATAATAACTAAGAGGAGTTACATGGATGTTTAATTACAATCATGGTGTTGATAATAACTAGGAGGAGTTACATGGATGTTTAATTACAATCATGGTGTTGATAATAACTAGGAGGAGTTACATGGATGTTTAATTACAATCATGGTGTTGATAATCACAAGGAGGAGTTACATGGATGTTTAATTACAATCATGGTGTTGATAATCACTAGGAGGAGTTACATGGATGTTTAATTACAATCATGGTGTTGATAATAACTAGGAGGAGTTACATGGATGTTTAATTACAATCATGGTGTTGATAATCACAAGGAGGTGTTACATGGATGTTTAATTACAATCATGGTGTTGATAATAACTGGGAGGAGTTACATGGATGTTTAATTACAATCATGGTGTTGATGATAACTGGGGGGAGTTGCATGGATGTTTAATTACAATCATGGTGTTGATAATAACTAGGAGGAGTTACATGGATGTTTAATTACAATCATGGTGTTGATAATAACTAGGAGTTACATGGATGTTTAATTACAATCATGGTGTTGATAATAACTGGGGGGAGTTACATGGATGTTTAATTACAATCATGGTGTTGATAATGATTAGATAAAAACATATGAAAATGTATGGTATGTGAAGGTGTAACAGAACTTTGGACGAAAGAATATAGATGTAACAGAAATATCTTGGTGCTACAATATCAGTACTGTTGTTGGAGGATACACTGATCAATGTTTGATGAGGAAGTGAATGTCTGAGGTAAGCCTGACCTAATCTATAATGGATGTCCATCAGGTCTCGCAGGCTATACATACACCCAGCAACTCATTGATGCTGTATACCTGTGCTTTGGTATATACATCACGTAATGAAAAAGGCTGGATAGTGTCTGATGGACTTATTGTTTATTTGTTGTAGGTAAGTGTTGACAGATTTGATGTTGTTCTGCTAGAAATTCTGTATGTTGTAGAAGAAGATTTTAAATTCATTGATTTGTATACCTGAAGAGGTAGATTTGCTTACCGGTATATATAGATGTTTTGTGCATGAGGTAAATCTCCAGGTATTTACTGGTGATAAATCGCAAGTCCAGGTGGTGAGTTCTAATCTTACCAGTGGGTCTGTTCTAGTTGCCTGGTTGTGGAACAATGAAACATGCCAAGATTTCAGGCATGTGACATGAAGCATTATCCAAATTATAAAAGAAAATTATAAAAGAAATCCTCATTTATTTCTGCAACAACATAACTATTTTGATGTCAGTACTATTAGGTATAGAGGGGATTCTGTGGACCAAGTCTATGACGAAATATCCACAAAATCTATAAAAACTTATTAGTGAGTAATGTGCAAAATCAGGATTTAGAACTGTATTCCATACAATGTAACGCTACAGCTATAAATAAGAATGCAGCTATTCTATAGCTTTTTAACATTGAAGATAAAAATGATGTATCTTATCACACAAACACTGTATACAGAATAGTTATTGATCTGTCATAGATATAATTGTTGATTACAGGGTACAGATTTCATAACTAGTTATTTACTAACAACAACCTGCATGTGTATTCATGGTACCAATAGGTGTATTAATAGTAACAACAGGTGTATTTATAGTAACTGATGTATTTATAGATTAAACAAGGATATAGAGCCAACATCAGTCTTCAGGTAGGTGTGTTCTTCAGCTGGGCAATCCACTTAAACTTGTATACTTTCAGGTAAGCAGGGTGATTAACAGAAATATGTACAATATAGACAGTCAAAGGTTAATTGCAACAAGATCAAGTGTTATCCAATAAGTGGATTACTAAACTTAATAATGGAACATTTTTTCAGGTTGGTAATGTCAATAGAGTAGAAATTCTTATAACACAACCAGTAGAAGATCAGAGTGTGATGTTTTGACTACAGTACATTGTTACATTCTGGTGTTTTTTTGTCTTCTATGGACAGCCAGAGATAGGAAACTTCTCTGATCTGGTTAAACATATTCAGTTTAGCTGTATATGTTATTTTTAGGGTTCTTTGTGTACATGCAAATGTGAAAGTTTAGAATCAATATGAATTACACATAAAAGACTATTAGGATTTCTATTTGCTGAAAATGTAGGGGCTACCACAGAGATATTTAAGTCATTGACAAGGTTGTAAAGTTACTGTGTGATCAGTTGGACATTGTTGTCTTTGGGCATCACTGATAGTACACCTGGAATGTCGAGGGCAATTGCTGATAAGGTAAATGGTTGGGGGGAGATATGGTAACTAATTGACCATCTTTAGTCTGGCTACCACAGGTAATCAGGGAATAAAAGGTCACAAACTGACCATCTTTAGTCTGGCTACCACAGGTTACCAGGGAAATATCGTTACAAACTGACCATCTTTAGTCTGGCTACCACAGGTAACCAAGGAATATATGGTCACAAACCGACCATCTTTAATCTGGCTACCACAGGTAACCAAGGGATATATGGTCACAAACTGACCATCTTTAGTCTGGCTACCACAGGTAACCAAGGAATATAAGGTCACAAACTGACCATCTTTAGTCTGGCTACCACAGGTAACCAAGGAATATATGGTCACAAACTGATCATGTCTTGTCAAGTTACCAATAGTAACCAGTTGACAAGGTAGAATGGGACATGAGTGGTTTTAATAGTTACTAAACTACAACTACATAAGTAGTTTAACTTCTTATTGACATGCATCTGGGGAAACTCTTCATGGTGTTTCACAAATGACATGGAGGACTGACAGCAAATTTTTTCTCTTCTCTTAACATTGAATGACATTGTGCCATGTGGTTTTCTTTGGTTTTCTTTGCCTTTGAAGGATGATCCAGTTTTTAAGATGTACCTTTATATACCTACTTGGTATAATACATGTTTGTGCCTTTTGTCAAGTGTTACAGGGATCAGGAACAAAGTCTGCTTCACATTTGTAGATTTTCTTTATTATCGTCAAGTTCTCAAGTTTTCAAACTAGTCAGGCTGATGTGAAAAAAGCCATTTTTGTCTACTTTTATAAACTGATTGTCAGTGTAATGGTAGTGTCCAGAGTTGATCCAACTGTCACTATAATCATAGTGTCCTGAGTTGAATGTTAGATCTGAAGTCAGACCATGTTATGACCATTAGTGTACAGGTGTCTGGACTGACCAGTGTACTATACAGACTGACCGACATTGTGACTGACCATAATGGATATCTGTTGTTGTTGAAGGACACTTTGTCTGACAACATTGCTCTTAAGATCGACACGTTGTGTTTCGTAGTGCTCAGGTATGTACAGCAATCAAACACCTGTATGTCCCGATATATAGGGCACTTCATGCTGTAATCAATTGTCTTATTAGGCGTTTGAAAGGACAAAGACACTGAAAATGATGGAGGCTCATACATATTGATATTACATAACCAGCATTTTAATTGGAGATTATATACTTAGTGATAAAGTCAGCTTAACACAGACCGACTTCTAGTGATTGTATAAAAGTAGGATTTTTTTTATCGTTCCATTTTCAGGTTGACACATAGACTTTAATCTGTCATGACAGTTTTTTTTAGGAAACTTGAGTATGTTTGATCAATGGAATCCCTTTTGCTGATGTTATACCAGAAGTACAGTCTGCAAAAATGAAAATGAAGTTAAATGTCAGGGTTATTTTGACAAGACAATAATTGTTGGTAGAGGGTTAACATTATAATTGTCTATAGCTATCAGATCTTTATCTTCTGTTGAGGGTTCTGTATCTTCTGTTGAGGGTTCTGTATCTTCTGTTGAGGGTTCAGTATCTTCTGTTGAGGGTTCTGTATCTTCTGTTGAGGGTTCTGTATCTTCTGTTGTGGGTTCTGTATCTTCTGTATCTTCTGTTGAGGGTTCTGTATCTTCTGTTGTGGGTTCTGTATCTTCTGTTGAGGGTTCTGTATCTTCTGTTGTGGGTTCTGTATCTTCTGTTGTGGGTTCTGTATCTTCTGTTGAGGGTTCTGTATCTTCTGTATCTTCTGTTGAGAGTTCTGTATCTTCTGTATCTTCTGTTGAGGGTTCTGTATCTTCTGTTGTGGGTTCTGTATCTTCTGTTAAAGGTTCTGTATCTTCTGTTGAGGGTTCTGTATCTTCTGTTAAAGGTTCTGTATCTTCTGTTGTGGGTTCTGTATCTTCTGTTGTGGGTTCTGTATCTTCTGTTGTGGGTTCAGTATCTTCTGTTGTGGGTTCTGTATCTTCTGTTAAAGGTTCTGTATCTTCTGTTGTGGGTTCTGTATCTTCTGTTAAAGGTTCTGTATCTTCTGTTGAGGGTTCTGTATCTTCTGTTGTGGGTTCTGTATCTTCTGTTGAGGGTTCTGTATCTTCTGTTGTGGGTTCTGTATCTTCTGTTGTGGGTTCTGTATCTTCTGTTGTGGGTTCTGTATCTTCTGTTGAGGGTTCTGTATCTTCTGTATCTTCTGTTGAGGGTTCTGTATCTTCTGTTGTGGGTTCTGTATCTTCTGTTGAGGGTTCTGTATCTTCTGTATCTTCTGTTGAGGGTTCTGTATCTTCTGTATCTTCTGTTGTGGGTTCTGTATCTTCTGTTGTGGGTTCTGTATCTTCTGTTGAGGGTTCTGTATCTTCTGTATCTTCTGTTGAGGGTTCTGTATCTTCTGTATCTTCTGTTGTGGGTTCTGTATCTTCTGTTGTGGGTTCTGTATCTTCTGTTGAGGGTTCTGTATCTTCTGTATCTTCTGTTGAGGGTTCTGTATCTTCTGTATCTTCTGTTGAGGGTTCTGTATCTTCTGTATCTTCTGTTGAGGGTTCTGTATCTTCTGTTGAGGGTTCTGTATCTTCTGTTGAGGGTTCTGTATCTTCTGTTGTGGGTTCTGTATCTTCTGTTGAGGGTTCTGTATCTTCTGTATCTTCTGTTGAGAGTTCTGTATCTTCTGTATCTTCTGTTGAGGGTTCTGTATCTTCTGTTGTGGGTTCTGTATCTTCTGTTAAAGGTTCTGTATCTTCTGTTGAGTGTAGGGGCCACTAGTATAGTTAAGTCAGTTAGGCATTTGACATTAATACCTTAGCTTAAGATCTCATATATGCTGAAGTACATGGTTGTGAAATTAAAAAATTTATATTGTCCTCCTGTTTGGCTAATTTCATTCAAACATTTTCCTTTGCTTCTTTGCAGACAATTAACCCACATCATATCTGCTCAATTTGTACAGTTGTCATCCATCCATACCAACAAAGACTGGGAAATTTGTATAAAATTCAATGCTAAGTATGTAAACATGAACTGCGTGTGGACACTGGTTTTCTTCTATAGTTTTGAAAATGTAGCCTGTAAGTCATGCTTAAGTGTCAAACTTGTGTTCCTGACTTTATAGATTATGATACTATTCAATTTTCTGATTTGTAATGATACTGTGTGTACAACATAATGCTACTGTGTTATAGATTATCACTGTCCAGCTTAAGTCTGGACATTGATTGGTCATACTGTTCTCATTTGTTAAAGCAAATATAGTAAAGCTAATAAAGCCTTCCCTTCTAATGAGTGCTGGGTAGTCACTGGACAGTGGTCAGGCATAGCTTTAGTTAATTGTCATGTGGTTAATAACACTTATTGTTCAGGGGAAGTAACTCCCAATGGCTAGTAATTTAGAATTACAATTACTTTGTCCGGAAAGTAACTGTTTGATGAATAATGTAATGTAATGACAGTTTTTGTTCAGGGGAAGTACCTATTAATATTGTTGTAACACTGACTGGTCAGGGGAAATGACTGCATGGAAGGTAATGTAGTAGCAATGACTGGTTAGGGGAAGTAACTCTGAAAAAGGATTAATGTAGTAACACTGACTGGTCAGGGGAAGTGACTCTGTATGGAGAGTAATGTAGTAACAATTGTTGTTCAGGGGAGGTAACTTTGAATAGAGAGTAGTGATAATGACTAGTCAGGAGATGAAACTCTAATCAGGTGAAATGTTTTAGTAACGATTACTTTTCAGGAGAAGGATCAAAATCTGTACAAATATTCTGTTAATTTCTGTAACTTAGAATAAGGGAGAACTCAAAACCTGGGACAGTTTTAGGTCAACTTCTGACACTAACCATGAGGCCACACTCTACTCCACCAGGGACCAAGTCGAGCACATCAATGATAAAAGGCCATCAACTTTATTAATTATTGATCTTTGACGACAATGAACATATGTGTTAGATAGATGTGGCTTGTGATCCTGGTTATCAAATTAAATTCTTGGCTGCTATATGTGTTTTGTATTCTCTATCCAGTTATCATGGTGTTGATCAGGTCTGAATAGAGAATGTTTTCTTGTCAGTGAAACACATGGCACCATAAAAATGGGGCTTCCTCATATGTCTTTATTAGCCATATGGATAGGTACTAGTTTTCAATGGTAATTAAAGGATTCTAATTATTATTCCATTATGCATGAAATAAGAGCAGACAAATTACCTATTATATTTTACTGACTGAAAGCTAGGTAACCAGTAAAAGTGTTTGAACAGCAGTATGGTGAAGGTACTGGTGTTGTTTTTATAGAGTAAATCATCATCATCATCATCGTCATCATCATCTTGGTGCTGGTCGTCATGGTTTGAGTGAGAGGCTAAGTGCTGGTCCCCTTGGTTTGAGTGGGAGGCTAGTTGCTGGTCCCCTTGGTTTAGAGTTAGAGGCTAAGTGCTGGTCCCCTTGGTTTAGAGTTAGAGGCTAAGTGCTGGTCCCCTTGGTTTGAGTGGGAGGCTAAGTGCTGGTCCCCTTGGTTTGAGTGAGAGGCTAAGTGCTGGTCCCCTTGGTTTAGAGTTAGAGGCTAAGTGCTGGTCCCCTTGGTTTAGAGTTAGAGGCTAAGTGCTGGTCCCCTTGGTTTGAGTGAGAGGCTAAGTGCTGGTCCCCTTGGTTTGAGTGAGAGGCTAAGTGCTGGTCCCCTTGGTTTGAGTGAGAGACTAAGTGCTGGTCCCCTTGGTTTAAAGTGAGAGGCTAGTTGCTGGTCCCCTTTGTTTAGAGTGAGAGGCTAGTTGCTGGTCCCCTTTGTTTGAGTGAGAGGCTAAGTACTGGTCCCCTTAGTTTGAGTGAGAGGCTAAGTACTGGTCCCCTTTGTTTGAGTGAGAGGCTAAGTGCTGGTCCCCTTTGTTTGAGTGAGAGGCTAAGTGCTGGTCCCCTTGGTTTAGAGTTAGAGGCTAAGTGCTGGTCCCCTTGGTTTAGAGTGAAAGGCTAGTTGCTGGTCCCCTTGGTTTGAGTGAGAGACTAAGTGCTGGTCCCCTTGGTTTGAGTGAGAGGCTAAGTGCTGGTCCCCTTGGTTTGAGTGAGAGGCTAAGTGCTGGTCCCCTTGGTTTAGAGTTAGAGGCTGGTTGCTGGTCCCCTTGGTTTAGAGTGAAAGGCTAGTTGCTGGTCCCCTTTGGTTGAGAGTGAAAGGCTAGTTGCTGGTCCCCTTGGTTTGAGTGAGAGACTAAGTGCTGGTCCCCTTGGTTTAGAGTTAGAGGCTAAGTGCTGGTCCCCTTGGTTTAGAGTTAGAGGCTAAGTGCTGGTCCCCTTGGTTTAGAGTGAAAGGCTAGTTGCTGGTCCCCTTGGTTGAGAGTGAAAGGCTAGTTGCTGGTCCCCTGGTTTAGAGTGAGAGGCTAGGTGCTGGTCCCCTTGGTTTGAGTGAGAGGCTAAGTGCTGGTTCCCTTGGTTTGAGTGAGAGACTAAGTGCTGGTCCCCTTGGTTTAGAGTGAAAGGCTAGTTGCTGGTCCCCTTGGTTTAGAGTGAAAGGCTAGTTGCTGGTCCCCTTGGTTGAGAGTGAAAGGCTAGTTGCTGGTCCCCTGGTTTAGAGTGAGAGGCTAGTTGCTGGTCCCCTTGGTTTAGAGTGAGAGGCTAGTTGCTGGTCCCCTCGGTTTGAGTGAGAGACTAAGTGCTGGTCCCCTTAGTTTGAGTGAGAGGTTAGGTGCTGGTCTCCGTGATTTGAGTGATAGACTAGTTGCTGGTCCCCTTAGTTTGAGTGAGAGGCTAAGTACTGGTCCCCTTTGTTTGAGTGAGAGGCTAAGTGCTGGTCCCCTTTGTTTGAGTGAGAGGCTAAGTGCTGGTCCCCTTTGTTTGAGTGAGAGGCTAAGTGCTGGTCCCCTTGGTTTAGAGTTAGAGGCTAAGTGCTGGTCCCCTTGGTTTAGAGTGAGAGGCTAGTTGCTGGTCCCCTTGGTTTAGAGTGAGAGGCTAGTTGCTGGTCCCCTTGGTTTAGAGTGAGAGGCTAGTTGCTGGTCCCCTTGGTTTAGAGTTAGAGGTTAGTCAGAGGTTTGGTGCTGCTCTCCCTTACTTTATTACAGGATATGTACGGTATGTGGGTGTAGACACAGAAAGGATGAAGAAGATCTTGTGTAAGCTGAGAGAGTTATGTAATCAGATCAAGTGATAAGGTATTGTGGTTGACACATCTAGGTTTGTACTGCTACAGCTACATGTTGTGTTAACTTTGATACATGGTATGTAGAGTCGGACTAGAAAAGTCTTTTCTAGCACTTGTGTTATGAGAAATCATACTGCTTCCTGCTGGCGGTGGCAGGTGATATTTTTTATCTTGCTTCGTGCCTATAAACTGCACTTGTGTACCTTGCTGTAGTATTAAGTACATCACAGCTACTCCTGTGTACCCAGCTGTAGTATTAAGTACATCACAGCTACTCCTGTGTACCCAGCTGTAGTATTGAGTACATCACAGCTACTCCTGTGTACCCAGCTGTAGTATTAAGTACATCACAGCTACTCCTGTGTACCCAGCTGTAGTATTGAGTACATCACAGCTACTCCTGTGTACCCAGCTGTAGTATTGAGTACATCACAGCTACTCCTGTGTACCCAGCTGTAGTATTGAGTACATCACAGCTACTCCTGTGTACCCAGCTGTAGTATTAAGTACATCACAGCTACTCCTGTGTACCCAGCTGTATTAAGTACATCACAGCTACTCCTGTGTACCCAGCTGTAGTATTAAGTACATCACAGCTACTCCTGTGTACCCAGCTGTAGTATTAAGTACAGCTCTCTTTCACTTTCTCAGTATTTTTTGTGGACATTGTTTTGGTGACCAGATCCACTAATTAATCACTGGCGGGTGATGTGTTATTAATTTCTATGATGTAGACATGTGGTTAAGCAAGGAAGCCCATTAGTGCTTTTATCAGTAAGAAATTGATTTCACTGAGAACACGTTATATTTCTGGTATACAATGAGGTCTTCATTAATTCCATTTTACCCAAGCTAACTGGTCTAGCTGTCCTGAAACAAGTGTCTAATGGAAGTTATTGAACCCATGTTGTTCAGGTCTCGATATTGTTCAGAGGAAGAAATGCTGAAAGATTTAGTCCTCCGTACACTTGACTAATAATAATCTCTCCATATTATATAGATTGTAATCCTAGACTAGAAGTGTTCACTGCTTCATATTGTACATGTAAGCTTCTGTTCCTGTGTAAAGAGTTTTTCTCTAGCAAGTGGATGAATGGATGGAGTTGATGAAGGTCATATCATTATCTGTAAACACAGGTGTAAGTTACAGAACTACACAAGGATGGTAGTACCAACGTCCTTGTATTGGAAAGTAGAAGTGGTGGTATAGGGAAATCAGACCTGTTAAACTGAGGACTGGCTTATAAGGTTACTTTAGTCGGAGTAGTTAGTGGAACTGTGGTTGGAATTTTACTCAATGGTAGATGTGGGTTCTTTGTTTGGTGGTCTAAAGCTACATATTTATTGTGAAGGCCCGGGCTCTTTGTTTGGTGGTCTAAAGCTACATATTTATTGTGAAGGCCCGGGTTCTTTGTTTGGTGGTCTGAAGCTACATATTTAATGTGAAGGCCTGGGTTCTTTGTTTTGTGGTCTGAAGCTACATATTTGTTGTGAAGACCTGCATTAGAAAGGAGGTACCTTTGTGACATGCACAACGACACGAAGTTGCTGCATGTGTCCTAATGCCGGTATCACTGTCACATATGGACTATTTATACTTATGTAGGCGTGGGTCGCACAAATCCGATTAGTAAATGGTCACAGGAGATAAGTACATGTTATGTGTTTCATTGTGTGTGATTGATTTATGTTATAGATTGATTTATGTTATAGATTGATAGATCTGATCACTGACAGCTCTACAGACAACAGAAGTTACACGTTCACATTGTTGTCAAGACATCACTGACAGCTGTACAGACAACAGAAGTTCTCAGTTAACATTGTCCTCAAGACATCACTGACAGCTCTACAGACAACAGAAGTTACACGTTCACATTGTTGTCAAGACATCACTGACAGCTGTACAGACAACAGAAGTTCTCAGTTAACATTGTCCTCAAGACATCACTGGTAGCTCTACTGACAACAGAAGTTCTCAGTTTACACTGTCCTCAAGACATCACTGGCAGCTCTACAGACAACAGAAGTTCTAAGTTAACACTGTCCTCAAGACATCACTGACAGCTCTACAGACAACAGAAGTTCATGTTATCATTGTCCTCAAAACATCACTGACAGCTCTACAGACAACAGACATTACAAGTTAACATTGTCCTCAAGACATCACTGACAGCTCTACAGACAACAGAAGTTCTCAGTTAACACTGTCCTCAAGACATCACTGACAGCTCTACAGACAACAGACGTTACAAGTTAACATTGTCCTCAAGACATCACTGACAGCTCTACAGACAACAGAAGTTTTCAGTTAACATTGTCTCAAGACATCACTGGCAGCTCTACTGACAACAGAAGTTCATGTTATCATTGTCCTCAAAACATCACTGACAGCTCTACAGACAACAGACATTACAAGTTAACATTGTCCTCAAGACATCACTGACAGCTCTACAGACAACAGAAGTTCTCAGTTAACACTGTCCTCAAGACATCACTGACAGCTCTACAGACAACAGACGTTACAAGTTAACATTGTCCTCAAGACATCACTGACAGCTCTACAGACAACAGAAGTTTTCAGTTAACATTGTCTCAAGACATCACTGGCAGCTCTACTGACAACAGAAGTTCTCAGTTTACACTGTCCTCAAGACATCACTGACAGCTGTACAGACAACAGAAGTTCTCAGTTAACATTGTCATCAAGACATCACTGACAGCTCTACAGACAACAGAAGTTCATGTTATCATTGTCCTCAAGACATCACTGACAGCTTTATAGACAACAGAAGTTACAAGTTAACATTGTCATCAAGACATCACTGACATCTCTACAGACAACAGAAGTTCTCAGTTAACATTGTCATCAAGACATCACTAATAGCTCTAAAAAACAACAGAAGTTCTCAGTTAATACTGTCCTCAAGACATCACTGACAGCTCTACAGACAACAGAAGTTCATGTTATCATTGTCCTCAAGACATCACTGACAGCTCTACAGACAACAGAAGTTCTCAGTTAACACTGTCCTCAAGACATCACTGACAGCTCTACAGACAACAGAAGTTCTAAGTTAACACTGTCCTCAAGACATCACTGACAGCTCTACAGACAACAGAAGTTCATGTTATCATTGTCCACAAGACATCACTGACAGCTCTACAGACAACAGAAGTTAATGTTATCATTGTCCTCAAGACATCACTGACAGCTCTACAGACAAAAGAAGTTCTCAGTTAACATTGTCATCAAGACATCACTGACAGCTCTACAGACAACAGACGTTACAAGTTAACATTGTCATCAAGACATCACTGATAGCTCTACAGACAACAGAAGTTCCAAGTTAACATTGTCTTATCACCAGTACAGCACCACCTTACAGAATGCTTTATAGAGAAATATTTGAAGAGAAGATGATTAAATAAGTAATGTTTGTGCTGTCTGTTGAAGTTACCTATAACTTATTCACAGTGACGGTGCCAAACTCAACAGAGAAAGGGTAGTAATAGGGTAGTAATAGGGTGTAATATATCTCAGGATTTGTCTCCTGTGTGTAAACACTACAATTTATGAATGACAAACAACTACCTATACTTTTACTTACCTATATAGCAGGTTTATCACCGGCAGACAGTGATTGCCTTTTAAAATATAAAACTTTATAGGCCAAGTGAGTGGTAATACAGGAATGCTTATTGTAGAATATTTCAATAATCTTGTGTCTCTGCATGTCGATAGAGTTATTTTCTAGTAGTACAGTGTGTTGGATGAATTAATGATTTGACTGTGAATTCTAGTCGTTCCATGTTTGATTTACATCTCAGTTTAATCACAGCAGAACAGAGCATCTTGTTGCAGATAGTGAAAGTAAAAGTTGAGGTTATAGCAGTATTAACAGCAAAATAGCAAAGTTTTCCATTGTATGTTGCCTAAGAAAACTCTCTGTGTAATTTGTATTCTTGCTTTAACAACAATGGACATCAAGTGATAATGACTTTCCCTCACCCTTAATTGTGATACAATACTACTGTATCTCACCCTTAATTGTGATACAATACTACTGTATCTCACCCTTAATTGTGATACAATACTACTGTATCTCACACTTAATTGTGATACAATACTACTGTATCTCACACTTAATTGTGATACAATACTACTGTATCTCACACTTAATTGTGATACAATACTACTGTATCTCACCCTTAATTGTGATACAATACTACTGTATCTCACACTTAATTGTGATACAATACTACTGTATCTCACACTTAATTGTGATACAATACTACTGTATCTCACACTTAATTGTGATACAATACTACTGTATCTCACCCTTAATTGTGATACAATACTACTGTATCTCACCCTTAATTGTGATACAATACTACTGTATCTCACACTTAATTGTGATACAATACTACTGTATGTTGACTTTCCCTGTGTACTCTTCTGATCATAGAAGTCAGGTCATCAACATGTTTGCATCTTGACCATATGTTATAGTGTACACCATTGTCTATTTGTTGTTTCCAGTGAAAGGTCACTGCTCGGCTTTTCTATATCAAGACATCTACATGGACTGAAAACATAACACCCTCTGGTCATTATGTTTGTATCATCAAAAAACTTGGTTTGTACATAATAATATGCAATGTGTTGCTTGGGGCAGTCAGTTTATATAGACCAAACCGGCCCATATTCTGTCAAGGACCTTATAACTTCAGGCCTGATGTAAGTAGACAATTACATATCTCAAAGTGACATGTGATCATCAGGTTGTCATATAGTGGCAAGCTATTGTTCTTAAGTTTGTTGTCACTCAGGTGTGGTTCTAGGATACATGTAACAGTGTTGGAGACAGGAAATGTGTTTCTGTTGTAACTGGATTATCTCTCAGGTGTGGTTCTAGTGTTGGAGACAGGAAATGTGTTTCTGTAGTAACTGGATTATCTCTCAGGTGTGGTTCTAGTGTTGGAGACAGGAAATGTGTTTCTGTAGTAACTGGATTATCTCTCAGGTGTGGTTCTAGGATACATGTAACAGTGTTGGAGACAGGAAATGTGTTTCTGTAGTAACTGGATTATCTCTCAGGTATGGTTCTAGTGTTGGAGACAGGAAATGTGTTTCTGTAGTAACTGGATTATCTCTCAGGTGTGGTTCTAGTGTTGGAGACAGGAAATGTGTTGCTGTAGTAACTGGATTATCTCTCAGGTATGGTTCTAGTGTTGGAGACAGGAAATGTGTTTCTGTAGTAACTGGATTATCTCTCAGGTGTGGTTCTAGGATACATGTAACAGTGTTGGAGACAGGAAATGTGTTTCTGTAGTAACTGGATTATCTCTCAGGTGTGGTTCTAGGATACATGTAACAGTGTTGGAGACAGGAAATGTGTTTCTGTAGTAACTGGATTATCTCTCAGGTATGGTTCTAGTGTTGGAGACAGGAAATGTGTTTCTGTAGTAACTGGATTATCTCTCAGGTGTGGTTCTAGGATACATGTAACAGTGTTGGAGACAGGAAATGTGTTTCTGTAGTAACTGGATTATCTCTCAGGTGTGGTTCTAGGATACATGTAACAGTGTTGGAGACAGGAAATGTGTTTCTGTAGTAACTGGATTATCTCTCAGGTGTGGTTCTAGTGTTGGAGACAGGAAATGTGTTTCTGTAGTAACTGGATTATCTCTCAGGTGTGGTTCTAGGATACATGTAACAGTGTTGGAGACAGGAAATGTGTTTCGGTAGTAACTGGACTTCTTAATCTCTCAGGTATGGTTCTATGATACCCACATTTTTGTGAGGTAAAGTTAATTGACTGAAGATAAATTCTGAAACCTTTCTATGACAGAAAATGTGTTGCATGCATATCTTTATGGACAATTTCATATCACAATTGAAGGTCCCCCTCTTTTGTATGACTGTCCTTAATTGGCAGCCTTCAGGGGTTCTAAAAGAGGTCATCTTTTCCGAGAGGTTTTGTCAAGATCAATTTAAATAAATCTTCATAACATACATTGTTTTATAAAAACTCATGATATTGAAATTTTCACAATGGACATATATTACAATGTATTGATAGTTGAACAGGAGCTGAAATAACTCAGTCAGATGATTGATTCACTACACGCTGTCTGATGAAGATTTGATGTGTGTTGTTTAATTCCCTATAAATGACAGTTTGTTTCTGAGGAGCCAGAGAAACAGGTCGGTCTAATGTGGTTGTGTCCTTAGGGAAGACACTTACTCTAATTGCATCATTGGTCTGGTCATGTGATGGGCCTCCTTTATGGTCTTCAGTCATGGTACAACCATGCAGCTACTACAAGGATCTCCACCCCCACCTGGCTTTTAATGTGGCCATTAATCAAGCAAACAGACAATTGATACCAGAAAAATATTGTATAATAATAGGTGTGTTACAATATCACATACAAAATATAAACCTTGGTGGAAGAGTCAGAAAGCCCTGGATCCTATACCTCACAGGGCTGACAAACTTCAGTGTTACTGACAACTGTTTGTTTGAGGTTTTTTTAGATGATAATGTCACACAATCAGTACCAGGCGGTATCCAGTATTTTCAATTAATTTTTTGGACAGTCACTCAAATGACATTTCAAAACATAGATTCCCTGCATAAACAAAAAAAAAAACAACAGTTTACTAATGGCATTTTTTTTTTTATATTTACAGGGATAAGATGAAATAAACTTTGCTTTTGTTGCCATGACGATGCCTTTAATAGAAGGCTGATTTTGAGATGGATGTTGGTAATCCCTACCATGTCAGCCCCAACAGGAAGTCCTATGTGGGGCCGTCAATGACCTACAATGGAGTCCCAGCAGAGCTACGAGAATCTAACCACTATATGGAGAGTTCCTTCACATCTGACAATCAGACAGGAACTGTGTTTATACGAATCTCCATACCAGACCTTAAAGTCCAGGTAGACTTTCTCTCAATAGAAACAGATGTTTATATCACAGCAATCTTTTATAAAAATGTTTTATGATGATTAAAAGAATATATATGTATATATATTGGCAATCTTGTTATACATCAAGTGAGAATTCACACATTGATGTGTTATTTTATATTTGTAGAAGTGCCTTCAATTTGAGTTAGATGAAACAGTATGGCAGGCCAAACAGCGACTACTGGGCACATTTGCCAAGGTAAAGAGATGTCACAGGGACCTTCAGGTCTCTTCTGTCACACCAGCTAATCAGATCTGTTGATTTTGTTACTAATAATGAAACACTTTATAATTCAAAATCAATGAAACTTCTTTGTAAAAAAAAAATAGTGTTGTTATAATTAACAAATCTCCATGATATTGAATGACGAATATATAAAGTTTAGTTTATCTGTATTTTAAAATCAAAGATTATCTGTACATTTCACACAGAACTAGAGTTTGTCTGTACACTTTACACAGAACTAAATTTCTCTGTATACTTCACACAGAACTAAAGTTTGTCTGTATACTTTACACAGAACTAAAGTTTGTACCCTTCACACAGAACTAGAGTTTGTCTGTACACTTCACACAGAACTAAAGTTTGTCTGTACACTTTACACAGAACTAAAGTTTGTCTGTACACTTTACACAGAACTAGAGTTTGTACACTTCACACAGAACTAAAGTTTGTACCCTTCACACAGAACTAATGTTTGTCTGTACACTTCACACAGAACTAGAGTTTGTCTGTACACTTCACACAGAACTAAAGTTTGTACCCTTCACACAGAACTAATGTTTGTCTGTACACTTCACACAGAACTAAAGTTTGTCTGTATACTTTACACAGAACTAGAGTTTGTACCCTTCACACAGAACTAGAGTTTGTCTGTACACTTCACACAGAACTAAAGTTTGTCTGTACACTTTACACAGAACTAAAGTTTGTCTGTACACTTTACACAGAACTAAATTTCTCTGTATACTTCACACAGAACTAAAGTTTGTCTGTACACTTTACACAGAACTAAAGTTTGTCTGTACACTTCACACAGAACTAAAGTTTGTCTGTACACTTCACACAGAACTAGAGTTTGTCTGTACACTTCACACAGAACTAAAGTTTGTCTGTACACTTCACACAGAACTAAAGTTTGTCTGTACACTTCACACAGAACTAAAGTTTGTCTGTACACTTAACACAGAACTAAAGTTTGTCTGTACACTTTACACAGAACTAAATTTCTCTGTATACTTCACACAGAACTAAAGTTTGTCTGTATACTTTACACAGAACTAGAGTTTGTACCCTTCACACAGAACTAGAGTTTGTCTGTACACTTCACACAGAACTAAAGTTTGTCTGTACACTTTACACAGAACTAAAGTTTGTCTGTACACTTTACACAGAACTAAATTTCTCTGTATACTTCACACAGAACTAAAGTTTGTCTGTATACTTTACACAGAACTAGAGTTTGTACCCTTCACACAGAACTAGAGTTTGTCTGTACACTTCACACAGAACTAAAGTTTGTCTGTACACTTCACACAGAACTAAAGTTTGTCTGTACACTTTACACAGAACTAAAGTAAGAACACTACTTCACACAGAACTAAAGTTTGTCTGTATACTTCACACAGAACTAAAGTTTGTCTGTACACTTCACACAGAACTAAAGTTTGTCTGTACACTTCACACAGAACTAGAGTTTGTCTGTACACTTCACACAGAACTAAAGTTTCTCTGTACACTTCACACAGAACTAAAGTTTGTCTGTACTTCACACAGAACTTCACACAGAACTAAAGTTTGTCTGTACACTTCACACAGAACTAAAGTTTGTCTGTACACTTCACACAGAACTAAAGTTTGTCTGTACACTTCACACAGAACTAAAGTTTGTCTGTACACTTTACACAGAACTAAAGTTTGTCTGTACACTTTACACAGAACTAAAGTTTGTCTGTACACTTCACACAGAACTAAAGTTTGTCTGTACACTTCACACAGAACTAGAGTTTGTCTGTACACTTCACACAGAACTAAAGTTTGTCTGTACACTTCACACAGAACTAGAGTTTGTCTGTACACTTCACACAGAACTAAAGTTTGTCTGTACACACACAGAACTAATGTTTGTCTGTACACTTCACACAGAACTAAAGTTTGTCTGTATACTTCACACAGAACTAAAGTTTGTCTGTACACTTCACACAGAACTAAAGTTTGTCTGTACACTTCACACAGAACTAAAGTTTGTCTGTACACTTTACACAGAACTAAAGTTTGTCTGTATACTTCACACAGAACTAAAGTTTGTCTGTACTTCACACAGAACTAAAGTTTGTCTGTACACTTCACACAGAACTAAAGTTTGTCTGTACACTTCACACAGAACTAAAGTTTGTCTGTACACTTCACACAGAACTAAAGTTTGTCTGTACACTTCACACAGAACTAAAGTTTGTCTGTACACTTCACACAGAACTAAAGTTTGTCTGTACACTTCACACAGAACTAAAGTTTGTCGGTACACTTCACACAGAACTAGAGTTTGTCTGTACACTTTACACAGAACTAAAGTTTGTCTGTACACTTCACACAGAACTAGACTTTGTCTGTACACTTTACACAGAACTAAAGTTTGTCTGTACACTTCACACAGAACTAAAGTTTGTCTGTACACTTCACACAGAACTAGAGTTTGTCTGTACACTTCACACAGACTGTACCCTTCACACAGAACTAATGTTTGTCTGTACACTTCACACAGAACTAAAGTTTGTCTGTATACTTCACACAGAACTAAAGTTTGTCTGTATACTTCACACAGAACTAAAGTTTGTCTGTATACTTCACACAGAACTAAAGTTTGTCTGTACACTTCACACAGAACTAAAGTTTGTCTGTACACTTCACACAGAACTAAAGTTTGTCTGTACACTTCACACAGAACTAAAGTTTGTCTGTACACTTCACACAGAACTAGAGTTTGTCTGTACACTTCACACAGAACTAAAGTTTGTCTGTACACTTCACACAGAACTAGAGTTTGTCTGTACACTTCACACAGAACTAAAGTTTGTCTGTACACTTCACACAGAACTAGAGTTTGTCTGTACACTTCACACAGAACTAAAGTTTGTCTGTACACTTCACACAGAACTAAAGTTTGTCTGTACACTTCACACAGAACTAAAGTTTGTCTGTACACTTCACACAGAACTAAAGTTTGTCTGTACACTTCACACAGAACTAAAGTTTGTCTGTACACTTCACACAGAACTAAAGTTTGTCTGTACACTTCACACAGAACTAAAGTTTGTCTGTACACTTCACACAGAACTAGAGTTTGTCTGTACACTTCACACAGAACTAAAGTTTGTCTGTACACTTCACACAGAACTAGAGTTTGTCTGTACACTTCACACAGAACTAAAGTTTGTCTGTACACTTCACACAGAACAAGAGATACTCTCAAAACTTCACACAGAACTAAAGTTTGTCTGTACACTTCACACAGAACTAAAGTTTGTCTGTATACTTCACACAGAACTAAACTTTGTCTGTATACTTTACAAAGAACTAGAGTTTGTACACTTCACACAGAACTAATGTTTGTCTGTACACTTCACACAGAACTAAAGTTTGTCTGTACACTTAACACAGAACTAAAGTTTGTCTGTACACTTCACACAGAACTAAAGTTTGTCTGTACACTTCACACAGAACTAGAGTTTGTCTGTACACTTCACACAGAACTAAAGTTTGTCTGTACACTTAACACAGAACTAGAGTTTGTACACTTCACACAGAACTAGAGTTTGTCTGTACACTTCACACAGAACTAAAGTTTGTCGGTACACTTCACACAGAACTAAAGTTTGTCTGTACACTTCACACAGAACTAGAGTTTGTCTGTACACTTCACACAGAACTAAAGTTTGTCTGTACACTTCACACAGAACTAGAGTTTGTCTGTACACTTCACACAGAACTAAAGTTTGTCGGTACACTTCACACAGAACTAAAGTTTGTCTGTACACTTCACACAGAACTAAAGTTTGTCCGTATTCCATTTACAGGATCTGAAGGATGCCTTAAATTTTGGTCTATACAGTCCGCCAGTCAATGGCAGGGCAGGCAAATTCCTGGAAGAGGAGAGACTGCTCCGTCACTACCCCTTACAGGGACCAATCGGATTCCTAGAGGTAAGTCACTTGGTATACTGTTATTTTAAGGAGTGTCTTGTGAAGATCACAGAATACAAACAGTTACGACTTGGCTATCCTCTATCCATGTCATCTGTATGTAAAACTTTTGTTAGAATTTAAGTCTGATTTACAAGTCAGAGCTTTAGGACAGTAAACACACTTGTTCATGTCTAGCTTTATTCAAACGTAAATTTATAGTTATAATTTGCATTATTTCAAAGATCTTTATATATTGTTATGTTAAACATTATATAAAATTTACAGTTATGGTTAGACTGTGCACCATTTCTATCTAAATTATCATCTGTTTAGGAATTGAAATAATTTTATGTGTCTTTACAAGTTTAAATCTATCATCTGTTTAGGAAGTGAAATAATTTTATGTGTCTTTACAAGTTTAAATCTATCATTTGTTTAGGAAGTGAAATAATCTGATGTGTCTTTACAAATCTATTTCTGTTATTTCAGTTTAAATACAAAAGAAGAGTATATAAACTGATGAACTTAAATCCAAGAAAACTCAAGCAAATTAATACAAAGGTATGTACTGGTCCTCAAGTAATGGCACTTGAGCTTTAAATGTTTGGTGTAGTATGTCTATACATCACTCTAATGGTTGGATCAGGGTGTTATTGGTAATAATATCTTGATCTTAAAATATTGTTAAACAGTTAAGCTTTTCATAGCATCTTTATTTAGGTTATTTCATCTCCAATCATTATTAAGTGGTTGTCCTTTAAAGAGTTATATTGGGACATCCCAAATCATTATTAAGTGGTTGTCCTTTAAAGAGTTATATTGGGACATCTCCAGTCATTATTAAGTGGTTGTCCTTTAATGAGTTGTATTGGGACATCCCCAATCATTATTAAGTGGTTTTCCTTTAAAGAGTTATATTGGGACATCCCCAGTCATTATTAAGTGGTTGTCCTTTAAAGAGTTATATTGGGACATCTCCAGTCATTATTAAGTGGTTGTCCTTTAAAGAGTTATATTGGGACATCTCCAGTCATTATTAAGTGGTTGTCCTTTAAAGAGTTGTATTGGGACATCCCCAATCATTATTAAGTGGTTGTCCTTTAAAGAGTTATATTGGGACATCTCCAGTCATTATTAAGTGGTTGTCCTTTAAAGAGTTGTATTGGGACATCCCCAATCATTATTAAGTGGTTGTCCTTTAAAGAGTTATATTGGGACATCCCCAGTCATTATTAAGTGGTTGTCCTTTAAAGAGTTGTATTGGGACATCCCCAATCATTATTAAGTGGTTGTCCTTTAAAGAGTTATATTGGGACATCTTTAAAGAGTTATATTATTAAGTGGTTGTCCTTTAAAGAGTTGTATTGGGACATCTCCAGTCATTATTAAGTGGTTGTCCTTTAAAGAGTTGTATTGGGACATCCCCAATCATTATTAAGTGGTTGTCCTTTAAAGAGTTATATTGGGACATCCCCAATCATTATTAAGTGGCTGTCCTTTAAAGAGTTATATTAGGGCATCAAAGAGTTTTTTTTTGTGTTTTTTTTTGTGTTTGTGACATTTTGTATTGATCTGCTGTGAAATGTTTAACATAGTTTTATTGATTGTAAAATATCATTTGTTTTTGCTTTGTAGAGTAACTTTAAGCACTTCATTGACCATGTGAAAAACTGTAATGTTGAGAAAGTGACCAAACTGACCAATAAGGGGCTTGACCCCAACTTCCATGACTCCAGCACAGGTGGTAAGTTTATTAGGGGAAATGAGATGTCCAAGATATGTATAGTTTTCTTATCTAACCTATAAATGGTAAAACAGGATTAAATAATTAAATAGCCAGCATGGTTTCAAATGACTAATGAAAAACATTTCTACCAATCAGGAAACGTTTAAACATAGTAAATCTCCTTTCAACAGGTAAGTCAATTAAACCCTTTTTAAAAATTATATTTGATGAAGGGTTGAGTTAAATATTTCTGTGACAAGCTTAAGGTAGATTTACTGAAGATATCTGTAGTTGATAATCATCATTAGTCTGTCAAATAACCTGGCTGTGTTTTGCATAACCTTGTACGTGAGGGAGTAGAGAGTAAGCAGTATCTATTTTTGCTGTTGACAGAGACACCCTTGAGCCAGGCCATGATGTTAACCAAACAGAAGTGCAGGGAGCTTATTATCAGCCTAGTAGGTGGAGGGGCTCATCTCGACTATCGCACCAAGAAAGGCCTTACCCCACTACACCGGGCAGTCCTGGCTGGTAACACAGAGGCTGTCAAGGTAGGTTTAGGGTGTTGCAGTTAGTTAAAAGGGTATAACATCAGAGTGGGATGTCAGCTTGTGGCTTGTTTACTGGCGAGTACCACTAGAGGTACAGTCTATGTCCTCCCTACATTAACACTGGCCAGTGTGATGTCAGCTTGTGGCTTGTTTACTGGAGAGTACCACTAGAGGTACAGTCTATGTCCTCCCTACATTAACACTGGCCAGTGTGATGTCAGCTTGTGGCTTGTTTACTGGAGAGTACCACTAGAGGTACAGTCTATGTCTTCCCTACATTAACACTGGCCAGTGTGATGTCAGCTTGTGGCTTGTTTACTGGAGAGTACCACTAGAGGTACAGTCTATGTCCTCCCTACATTAACACTGGCCAGTGTGATGTCAGCTTGTGGCTTGTTTACTGGAGAGTACCACTAGAGGTACAGTCTATGTCCTCCCTACATTAACACTGGCCAGTGTGATGTCAGCTTGTGGCTTGTTTACTGGAGAGTACCACTAGAGGTACAGTCTATGTCCTCCCTACATTAACACTGGCCAGTGTGATGTCAGCTTGTGGCTTGTTTACTGGAGAGTACCACTAGAGGTACAGTCTATGTCCTCCCTACATTAACACTGGCCAGTGTGATGTCAGCTTGTGGCTTGTTTACTGGAGAGTACCACTAGAGGTACAGTCTATGTCCTCCCTACATTAACACTGGCCAGTGTGATGTCAGCTTGTGGCTTGTTTACTGGAGAGTACCACTAGAGGTACAGTCTATGTCCTCCCTACATTAACACTGGCCAGTGTGATGTCAGCTTGTGGCTTGTTTACTGGAGAGCATAATGTACCACTAGAGGTACAGTCTATGTCCTCCCTATATTAACACTGGCCAAGCTTGACAGATGATAAATAGCACCTGCAGCTCTCTTGTAAATACTGCATCACCTATCCCATGGAGAGATGACAAAAGGGTTGGTCCGGCAGGTCATTGGCTGTCAGCCATGACCTAAAGCTTCTGTTCAAAGTGAGGCTGAGTGATTCACAGTGGACTGACATGGTGGCAAGTCTATAACATTGGATATTTATAATGAATTCTCACAAATATTGTCATGTAAGTTGTAATATATTAACATTCAGGAAGGTGTATTGAACAAGTTAATTCATTAATTAACTTTTTAGAGATACAAGGTTCTTATCAATTCTTAAAGTTGTCTAGACATCATTCTTCCTAAAATAACAGTGTTCCAAGCACTGAAAACTGGCTTGTACTTAATTATGTTGTTTTGGTTTCAGACTCTGTTAGACCTGGGGGCGTCCCCTAACCTGAAGGACGCCCGAGGACTGACTCCCTTGTACTATTGTGCAGCCCATTCCTGTAATCCTATTTGTGTGGAGATGCTGCTGATGGAGAAGGCCATTATTGGGGCTACAGACGAACAGGGCTGGATGGAGATACACCAGGTAAGTGTTTTATTATCTATGTATGGCTGTTTACCTGTTCATCAGGCCTAATGGATAGCACACCTGTAATCAGCAAATATTGTTTATATGCAATCTTGTTAGATAAATTTTGGGAACTGTGACATTTCTACTCACTTCTGATGAATAATTTCAAATCAAGTATTGAATAATGTTTTAATATCAAGGTTATATATATGAAATAGATCTGTAATTCATCTCTATGTGTTATCTATATATGATTCGTATTGAAACGTCTTTTGTGATATAACAGGCCTGTCATAATGGTCTCGTCCAACACCTGGAGTACCTACTGTCTTATGGAGCAGATATGGACATCCAGAATGCCAATGGTAACACAGCCCTACATGTGTGTGCTATAAACAACCAGGTAAGATTTAGTTGTCAGATAAATCTGAAGGTTCCCTCAATGATTTACAATAAGGATCAGGTTGTCCAGTACCCGTATTTACTGGGTTTATCGCCCTGACAACAGCCAGGGTTATAATGCTTTGGCTTTTCCTGTAGTTGATGGCTACCTCTCTGAACAGCATGCTAGAGACTTTTCTTGTACCAATGCGCTTACTGTCCTGTACAGGTTTTGAAGTAAGAATCAGTGTATTGAACATACCAACCTCTCACCCTGAGAGTAGGTTTGTGTTGAGGTATACTGGAATCACCATGTCTTTCTTGTCTTCTCATCCAACTTTGAAGCATATTGCTGTCAAACTAAGATCTTCATTCTTACTGAAGATTAAGAATATATCCCAAAGAAGGGATGTTACATAAATTTTGACGAGTGTTTGGCTTTTCTCCAGGAGTCATGTGCGCGTGTGCTACTGTTTCGGGGTGCTAACAAGGAGATCGTCAACTTGAACCATCAGACGCCGTATCAGGCAGCCATTATCGCTCAGAGTCATGACCTGATACTGATGCTGGAGCAACACCGTAACGAGGATGTAGGTCAGTCACCATGGTAACCAGTTAAGCAGTGTATGATAAATACAATGATGTTGATATAAAGATACAAGTTAAAGGGTATACTTGTAATGTTTCAGTACTGATGTAACAGTACAATTAAAACTGCTCAGGTAACACATTACAGATGTAACTGTACAGTTAACACTGCTCGGGTAACATATTACAGATGTAACTGTACAATTAAAACTGCTCGGGTAACATATTACAGATGTAACTGTACAATGAAAACTGCTCGGGTAACACATTACAGATGTAACTGTACAATGAAAACTGCTCGGGTAACACATTACAGATGTAACTGTACAGATAACACTGCTCGGGTAACATATTACAGATGTAACTGTACAATTAAAACTGCTCGGGTAACATATTACAGATGTAACTGTACAATGAAAACTGCTCGGGTAACACATTACAGATGTAACTGTACAATGAAAACTGCTCGGGTAACATATTACAGATGTAACTGTACAATTGACACTGATCGGGTAACATATTACTGATGTAACAGTACAATTAAAACTGCTCGGGTAACATATTACAGATGTAACTGTACAGTTAACACTGCTCGGGTAACATATTACAGATGTAACTGTACAATTAAAACTGCTCGGGTAACATATTACAGATGTAACTGTACAATTAAAACTGCTCAGGTAACATATTACAGATGTAACTGTACAATGAAAACTGCTCGGGTAACATATTACAGATGTAACTGTACAATTGACACTGCTCGGGTAACATATTACAGATGTAACTGTACAATTAAAACTGCTCGGGTAACATATTACAGATGTAACTGTACAGTTAACACTGCTCGGGTAACATATTACAGATGTAACTGTACAATTAAAACTGCTCAGGTAACATATTACAGATGTAACTGTACAATGAAAACTGCTCGGGTAACATATTACAGATGTAACTGTACAATTGACACTGCACGGGTAACATATTACAGATGTAACTGTACAATTGACACTGCTCGGGTAACATATTACAGATGTAACTGTACAATTAAAACTGCTCGGGTAACACATTACAGATGTAACTGTACAATTAAAACTGCTCAGGTAACATATTACAGATGTAACTGTACAATGAAAACTGCTCGGGTAACAAATTACAGATGTAACTGTACAATTGACACTGATCGGGTAACATATAACAGATGTAACTGTACAATGAAAACTGCTCGGGTAACATATTACAGATGTAACTGTACAATGAAAACTGCTCGGGTAACATATTACAGATGTAACTGTACAATGAAAACTGCTCGGGTAACATATTACAGATGTAACTGTACAATTGACACTGCACGGGTAACATATTACAGATGTAACTGTACAATGAAAACTGCTCGGGTAACATATTACAGATGTAACTGTACAATTAAAACTGCTCGGGTAACACATTACAGATGTAACTGTACAATTAAAACTGCTCAGGTAACATATTACAGATGTAACTGTACAATGAAAACTGCTCGGGTAACAAATTACAGATGTAACTGTACAATTGACACTGATGGGTAACATATTACAGATGTAACTGTACAATGAAAACTGCTCGGGTAACATATTACAGATGTAACTGTACAATGAAAACTGCTCGGGTAACACATTACAGATGTAACTGTACAATGAAAACTGCTCGGGTAACACATTACAGATGTAACTGTACAATTGACACTGATCGGGTAACATATTACAGATGTAACTGTACAATGAAAACTGCTCGGGTAACATATTACAGATGTAACTGTACAATGAAAACTGCTCGGGTAACACATTACAGATGTAACTGTACAATGAAAACTGCTCGGGTAACACATTACAGATGTAACTGTACAATGAAAACTGCTCGGGTAACACATTACAGATGTAACTGTACAATGAAAACTGCTCGGGTAACACATTACAGATGTAACTGTACAATGAAAACTGCTCGGGTAACATATTACAGATGTAACTGTACAATGAAAGCTGCTCGGGTAACATATTACAGATGTAACTGTACAATGAAAACTGCTCGGGTAACACATTACAGATGTAACTGTACAATTAAAACTGCTCGGGTAACATATTACAGATGTAACTTTACAATGAAAACTGCTCGGGTAACATATTACAGATGTAACTGTACAATTGACACTGCTCGGGTAACATATTACAGATGTAACAGTACAATTGACACTGCACGGGTAACATTGTTATAAGGATTCCTGTCTCTGTAGTTTAACTCCACAAACAAACAAAATTCAGTACTAGAATGTGTAACAATAATGAGCTGTAAATGTACAGTTGTGATTTGTCGTATAACTTCCACTGCTTCCTTAATTAGTCACAACTTTGATTTCTATTGTTGATTTCAGTGCCTATCCGTGAGATGCCTCGCTATAGTAATCGGCGCCGTGACAATCCAGCATTACAGTCTATTTATGGGATGTCTCGTAGTCGTAGTGATCCGAGAATCAATGCTATTTCTATGATGGATGATAAATATATATCTACTTTCGCGTCTATGCATAACTTGGCGTACCTCAACAACAATCACCCAGACACGCCCTCTGGTGGTTATGAGACAGACTCGCCTCGTTCCATGTCGGTGTCTAGTGCCAGCTCTGGGATGGGTGAGTAACTGACAATATTTCTTTCTCCTTGTAGTTCTATCTTCTTTCAGTCATTTTGAAAATTGATAAATTGTATCAGGAGATTATTGTTTGGAACATGAAAACTTGTTTATAACATAAATAACGAATGGAAAAGATAAAAATATGACTATTAAAAATCTGACTATTACACTGTATAGAAATCAAGGTATAAGATAGCGCAACAACTGCTGAGGCCATGTTTGGAAAATATGTTAGAATGTCACACTTTTGGTGTGATCAACTGATACTATGGAACACTGATTGGATATAAGGTATGAGCTATAGAAGAGTTGTATTGGTATGCAATTCAGGCAAACAAAAAGCAGCAGCTTCCAAGGATGTTGTTACCATGGCTACATGTCAAGAGGTTAAAGGTAAAGGTCACAGGCATATACTCTTACTCAGCTTTGCTGTAAAGTGAAAAAGTTACCAGTGCTTCCCAGGCAGAGATTCTGGCTGCTTTAGAGATATAGCTGTATAATGGAATCGGTGATATTTTTGTGATTTTCATAGTGCTATCTGGGAATCAAATAGAGCTAACACTTGAGCTAACAGTTGCAGTAATGTAATTAATTACTAAAAACCTTCAGTCTCAAATTGCAAATTCATCAATGTGAAAATCCAAAAACATCCCACAAATGTAGCACTTTGCATTTCTAGCTTTGCCATAATTGCTGCTAGACATCATTTTCTGTATCAAAAAAAGCTGTAAATTATGTTAAGATTTCTGCAACAAATATGTCATCACAGGCTTGTATTGTATGTTATGATAAGTAAGGATGAGACATGTGCTGCTTCCTCAACACAGGTATTCCTGAACATGGCTCAAGTGACTTTCGCCCTCAGTCATATTGGTCACTACTACAGTGCCCTCACCCTCAACACACCCAATTCTCCCCCAGCTCCAAAGTGCCTCAGCGCAGTCACAGTATGGTTCAGTATGTGACTAGTCCAAAGACGGCCAACCCTTCATTATCAGCAGACCTCCACAACCACAGTGATCTTTCAGCCATTTGCGACAAATGCCACCGCCTTAGTGTACCCCAGGAGGGTCGGTCACATCGCCATAGCATGTACAGCCACTACACGTCGCCACGTGGCCTAAGCAGGTGCCCATCACTACAAGAGGAGATGATGTATGGCCAAAGTATACAGCATGCTGACCACAGCTTGGAGAGAAATGTGGAGGACACACATATAAACAGACGGCCTAGAAGACTGTCACTTTTCAGTAACCACAGTGCCACCATGTGCAATCACCCTAGTCCCTCTTCTTCCAGTGGCAGTATTGGGGCCACTATATCAAGTGGCAGCAATACCACAATATCAAGTGGCATCACAGTTAGGATAAACGGTGACACTGAACACAGTACCCAAGAGGAAAGAAGTATTCCAACAACTACCTCACAACAATCCAGTCGGTCATTGAGTGTACCACACAGCGCAGTGACAGTACAGAACAGTAGTAGAGGCAGGAATGTGTTCAGTTTGTCAGCCCTCCCTATGTACAAGGAGTCCCAGCCACAGGGACCCATGATTAACCTCACCAATCCCAACAGTCTCCATGTGTGTGTCAAGTCGTACGAGGCAGTCAACCCTGTAGAGCTGACTCTCATCAAGGGAGAAATCATTGAAGGTCTACTTTTATATTTTGCATTGTGGTTTTTTTCAGCATGTTTCTATTTTCTTCAGTTTGGTCAGTTATTTGGATTTTTTGTTGAGAATTTTTACAAGCATGGAAATAACTGGTCCAGGCTGGCATGCAGGTTTATGATGAGGAATTAACACGACACAACCCTAACACTAAGGAAATGTTTACCTGTATAAACAGCCCTCTTAATCAGTCTGCTTCCTTACTACAGGAATGATATGATTGGTATCTGCTATATATATAACCAGCTTTCTATCAGCCAGGCTTGTTTTCAGGGTGATGTTGTGTTCCTCTCATTGACACTGTCCAGGCTGTCATTTTACAGGGTAGAGGTTTCATTGTTTGATAATTAAATTGTTTCTTTAGTCTCTTGTCTATCATTCATCTTTGTTCAGTATCTTTGTGTTTGCTGTCCATTCACTTTGGCAGGCTTTAAATTATAGCCAGATATATAATTCAGTGGAGGCAACTCCATTCTGTCACATCATGAACACTTCCTTTTTACAATTGATGGCTTTTTTCACATTATTTTAGTTTACTGGAACACATCACTAGATAATATGAATGATTTTATATAAAATTGCACTGCTTAGATACCTGTAATGAGATATACAGTACGCTTCAACACACATAATATATATTTTCAGTGTATTCAAATTACACACATTAGGGACATATATAGCAGATTTATAGTTTCAAACATCTGTCTGTATAAATCTAGCTCTGTAACCGTACTTTATCTTGATTTTATCACCCCTTACAAATGAGATGAATTTTCAGAAATGTCTTGTTTATTCTATATATAATTTCATCAATTATCAGTTGTTAGTGATAAAGCAATGTGCTAAATGTGCTTCAATCAGTAAAGAATAATGACATCATAATTATGTGTTAATGACAATGTGATCTTTATATAACAGATAACCAATGTGACCTTTATATAACACAATGTGATCTTCATATAACGGAGAACCAGCGTGACCTTTATATAACGGAGAACCAGCGTGACCTTTATATAACAGATAACCAACATGACCTTTATATAACAGATAACCAGCGTGACCTTTATATAACGGATAACCAGCGTGACCTTTATATAACGGAGAACCAGCGTGACCTTTATATAACAGATAACCAACATGACCTTTATATAACGGAGAACCAGCGTGACCTTTATATAACGGATAACCAGCGTGACCTTTATATAACGGAGAACCAGCGTGACCTTTATATAACGGAGAACCAGCGTGACCTTTATATAACAGATAACCAACATGACCTTTATATAACAGATAACCAGCGTGACCTTTATATAACGGATAACCAGCGTGACCTTTATATAACGGATAACCAGCGTGACCTTTATATAACGGATAACCAGCGTGACCTTTATATAACAGATAACCAGCATGACCTTTATATAACGGATAACCAGCGTGACCTTTATATAACAGATAACCAACATGACCTTTATATAACAGATAACCAACATGACCTTTATATAACAGATAACCAGCATGACCTTTATATAATGGAGAACCAGCGTGACCTTTATATAACAGATAACCAACATGACCTTTATATAACAGATAACCAGCATGACCTTTATATAATGGAGAACCAGCGTGACCTTTAGATAACAGATAACCAGCGTGACCTTTATATAACGGAGAACCAACATGACCTTTATATTACGGAGAACCAGCATGACCTTTATATAATGGATAACCAGCGTGACCTTTATATAGCAGATAACCAGTGTGGCCTTTATATAACAGATAACCAACATGACCTTTATGTAACGGAGAACCAGCATGACCTTTATATAACAGATAACCAACATGACCTTTATGTAACGGAGAACCAGCGTGACCTTTATATAACAGATAACCAACATGACCTTTATGTAACGGAGAACCAGCGTGACCTTTTATAACAGATAACCAACTTATGCATAATTTAAAATCTCCTGCTGCTTACTGGTTAGCTTTGTATTGTTACTAAAAAAAGCCAAGGTGGTATATCTAATTTACCTTAATGACTGTATATCTAATTTAACTTTACAACTGTATACCTAATTTACCTTTACAACTGTATACCTAATTTACCTTAACGACTGTATACCTAATTTACCTTAACGACTGTCTACCTAATTTACCTTTACAACTGTATACCTAATTTACCTTAACGACTGTATACCTAATTTACCTGTATACCTAATTTACCTTAACGACTGTATACCTAATTTACCTTAATGACTGTATACCCAATTTACCTTAACGACTGTATACCTAATTTACCTTAACGACTGTATACCTAATTTACCTTAATGACTGTATACCTAATTTACCTTAATGACTGTATACCCAATTTACCTTAACGACTGTATACCTAATTTACTAAATTTAACACTATCAGTCTTCTAACACTCAATTACAAAAAGTAATTTTCTTTTTGGTGTTGATGTTTTGAGATGACTATCATTCAGTACTAAGACACTTTTGTGCGTCAGGTTTGATTTAACATATGCTATGGAATGATAAAAATTTGTTTGCAGAGCATAACCTGTATGCTGGCTATAATCATACTCAAGCTTTCATGTCTATTTTGCAATTATCTGTACTGTATGTTATATATTTGTACTAAATTGATCAATCAGCTATTTTATTGAAGTTTCACACAATATTTATATATATACCTTGTATTCTGAGAAAATTATAATTTACAGTGTCTGATTCATACATAAAAATATAATAGAATGGGAAAGACTTCTGATTAGTAAAGCATTAACACTTTCTATCAAATCTTCACACATTTATACATTGGTTTGCTGCCTCAGTATGTCTACATGGTTACCTACATGGTAACACATTGTAAAGCATCTCAAGTTATGATACGAAAGCTTTTATGCTTTACTAGAAAGACACTTAGAAGTTTCTTCAATTTTATTATTCAGATTTATATATATATATATATGTAAACACTGATAAATACTAGCTGTAACCTACTGTTCAGTTAGGGAGAGCTTCTCTTTAGCTCAATCGCTGGAGTGTCAGACTAGTAAACCAGAATCCCAGAACTTGAATCCTAGCAGAAGCATTGAAAGAATCAATGATATCTGTAACAAATATATTCTGTATGTTATGTGCAAGTAAAATACAAAGGAACGTCCTAAATTAAACCTTTATGGTACAACCAGATTTATCTAATAATGCACTAATTTTACTTGTGTATTATCTGTTTGGTACAGATGGTACAAGACTATTTTCATTAATTTGACTTAAGGTGTAAATAACCTTCAGAATGCAATTTAATCTTTAAGATAACTATAGTTAAACAATACCATATGATATGTATGTTATCGACAAATACTTTTTCTGTAGTTCTGTATTTGTTTCAATGTTCAAAACTAGAAGTTTTATTTAATGGTAAAAACTGTTGTAGTTAGTAAGTGTGATATGTAATGTTATGTGGTGATATTGGTGACTGATCACAACTCACTTTTATAGTACTACCACCCATACAAGGTAAACTGTGGTTTATTTTATAATTGATTTAACAGTATTACATACATGTTCTTACAATATCACTGATTCTGATTAATGAGAAACATTTGATTTGAAGTGGTGAGAGGAGAGTGATAATTTATGTAGTAGAACAGTGTTGTCAGTCCCTGTCAGTAAGATTTATAATATAGATTATGTAACACAGAACTTTGTCCTAACAGTTTATAAACACATGTCTACAATAAACCTCAGCAGATATTTGGTATAGATATAAACAGTGTTGAATTGTAATGAGGGAACATACAGCCCTAGCCACCCTATATGTTACTGTGATTTGTGTAAGGTGGCCTACTTCTGATCTCAGAAAGTTTCTGTTTCCAGTGACCGGTGTGAGTGACCAGGGCTATTGGGAAGGTCGCAACATGAACGGTCAAGAGGGTTGGTTTCCTAGCGACAACATACAGGAAGTGCGACTACGACGCAGAGGTAATTTATTTCTATCAGTTCTGAAAAAAATATCAATGACACATAAATAAAGACATGCATGTTGTTTGATAAGTAATCATGCTGGTGTTGTTTGGGATGGAAGGATTTGGGGGATATAAATTAGTACACACATCAGGATCCATTTCAAACCATTGTCAGGGGTTTTGATCAGAATTGATAGGACAAGTGGGAGGTAATCATGGATGAGTTCTTGTTTAAGGGTTTGAAGGTGAAGGTCACCATTACTATTTATAGAAAACGATCAAATTAATTTGCATGAAAGCTGGGGAGTTCATGAGATGTTTATAATTTTTACTTGAAATATATGTACACAATGGAATATGTATACTGTTTGTATAGTGATATAGGTGTATATAGCACTGTCTGCTTGTGATCAATTTCAATGTTATAAAAGTTAACATCAGTGAGAGATATTCCATTTTATTGATTATATATACTAACATATGTTGGGGTTGTGAAATATTTGTAAATATTTATACTTATCTAGGACAATTTACACCTAATGTTACCTAATTTTCTATAAAATGATATTGTAAATATGAATTCAGTTCACTTTGTTACTGTTCATACTGAAATGAGAGTCGGCAATCTTGTTTTTTTAATCTAACAGAAATCACCCTATAGACACTTTTATCTTATCCCCGAATGTTTGATTTTCAGTGCAGCCTTTAGTTTCTTTCAGTTTGTTTAGTTTAGTTTTTCTGTAAAGCAATATTTGACCTTTCTATGTATTTGACAGCTGGGTCCTTGGGAGATATCATGAAAGTTTCCAGAGACAACGCCCTCAATAGGAATACCTTAGCCACACTGGTCCAGCCTTACAGGTAAGTTATACTGTTTAATACTAATGGTGGATTGGTGAAAACTGTGTAATTAATGAAACTGTGGACAAAATTGTCTTGTATCCTGATAAGGTATTGAACAGATTGATTCCAGTGTGGTGCAGTGGAGATAAATCTAGATCTAGGCTGTTGCTGTAAGGGGAGATAACTCTGACAGTTCTATTGTGTTGTAGTCACAGAGAACAAATTCACTGTGGACATATCTGACATAATGAACAAGGTGTTTAAATCTAGAATTCTCAGAAATCTTTGTCTTAGCTGAGGAGTCGACCATTAAAATCTAAGACTGGAGGTTACAGACAAGGTTGTTGCCATGACATTTTTACTGTGTGAATGAAATTTTTTAGTATGAATGTCATTTTTTATCGGCAACTTATTTAATAATATCTCTTGTCAGATGTCCTTAATATAGAAAATATGTGAATTGAATAATTTTATTCAGTAAAATGATTTCTTTTGTTGTTTATCAGTCAAGCTTCAATTTCCTGTTTTGATTTCACCTTAGTGTTTGAGATAATGTATAATCTTGATCAGGATACTGGGTGATTTTACAGATATCATTGATGTATACTTTCCTGTTATTTCACTGATGTCACAGTCAGCTTTTTAACATGTATTCTACTTCAGTACTGAAGCTACCTCTTGTTATTAAAATGGTCTGAATGTTCTCAAACATTTAAGGTTTAGCATTAAAAGAATTGAGACAGACTTTGATATACAGGACCTATACATATATTATTGTCATGTGAGTTGTGACCTTGGCACTGTTTTATAAGTAGACTGACAGTATTGTTATATCTTCAGTGTGCAGTCATTCACAGAAACCATCATTTAGTTCCTGAAAGTACTATATAACAATTAAAAACATGGAGGGTAATGGGCTTTAGTCTGTGACCAAAGCTTATACAAGCAGCTTTTTATGCCCTGGAGATGAAGTATAATCTCGGAGCCAAAATATTTGTTCTGTAGATGTGATCTCCAGTAAAAAGTTTAAATATGGATAGTGTTTGGACTTATGCCAGACAACTTGCTATCTAGGTCAGATTGATGTTTTACCTTAAGGGCAAATTGATGGTATGTATAGGCAAAGAAGTAATACACCTGATTGAAAATGTACAACATATTGATGAGTAGGCCTGGGGATACATGTGGGATAATTCAATTTCAGGAAATGTTAACAAACAACTGGTAGAATGTCATCTTATAACATGACTTTAATACAGGCACAATCTTATAAAACGAGATACAGGTGGTCTCACTTGTGTAGTGACAATATATAATCATATGGTGCTCCTTATGCAATATCAAATTATAATATATCAACAACTTTGTCGTTGGCATACAAAGTCATGTTGTTGGAATATAACGTCTTGGGTTTGTCATTGAGATAAGAAGCCATGGATTTGTTGTTGGAATATAAAGTCTTGGACTCATCATTGCGATATGAAGTTAAATATTAGTCATTGGAAAATATGAGTTTATGGATTTGTCATTAAGATATGAAGCCTTGGGTTCATTGTTGGGATATTAAATTTCAGGTTTGTGGTTGGGATATTAAATTTCAGGTTTGTGGTTGGGATATTAAATTTCAGGTTTGTGGTTGGGATATTAAATTTCTGGTTTGTGGTTGGGATATTAAATTTCTGGTTTGTGGTTGGGATGTAAAGTTTCAGGTTTGTGGTTGGGATATTAAATTTCTGGTTTGTGGTTGGGATATTAAATTTCTGGTTTGTGGTTGGGATGTAAAGTTTCAGGTTTGTGGTTGGGATATTAAATTTCTGGTTTGTGGTTGGGATATTAAATTTCTGGTTTGTGGTTGGGATGTAAAGTTTCAGGTTTGTTGTTGGGATATTAAGTTTCAGGTTTGTGGTTGGGATATTAAGTTTCAGGTTTGTTTTTGGGATATTAAGTTTCTGGTTTGTTGTTGGGATATTGAGTTTCTGGTTTGTTTTTGGGATATTAAGTTTCTGGTTTGTTGTTGGGATATTAAATTTCTGGTCAGTGGTTGGGATATTAAGTTTCAGGTTTGTGGTTGGGATATTAAGTTTCAGGTTTGTTGTTGGGATATTAAATTTCAGGTTTGTGGTTGGGATATTAAGTTTCAGGTTTGTGGTTGGGATATTAAGTTTCAGGTTTGTGGTTGGGATATTAAGTTTCAGGTTTGTGGTTGGGATATTAAGTTTCTGGTTTGTTGTTGGGATATTGAGTTTCTGGTTTGTGGTTGGGATATTAAATTTCTGGTTTGTTGTTGGGATATTAAATTTCTGGTCAGTGGTTGGGATATTAAGTTTCAGGTTTGTGGTTGGGATATTAAATTTCTGGTTTGTGGTTGGGATATTAAATTTCAGGTTTGTGGTTGGGATATTAAATTTCAGGTTTGTGGTTGGGATATTAAATTTCTGGTTTGTGGTTGGGATATTAAATTAAAATTCAGGTTTGTGGTTGGGATATTAAATTTCTGGTTTGTGGTTAGGATATTAAATTTCAGGTTTGTGGTTGGGATATTAAATTTCAGGTTTGTGGTTGGGATATTAAGTTTCAGGTTTGTGGTTGGGATATTAAATTTCAGGTTTGTGGTTGGGATATTAAATTTCTGGTTTGTGGTTGGGATATTAAGTTTTGCAATTGTTGTTAGGATATGAAGTCATGGATTTGATGTTGGTGAGTTTTGTCTAAAATATGAAAAGTTTGTTAATACCAATATTATTGTTAGTCTGACTTTGGAGAAAGTGTCAACTGCTTCCCTATGTCCAGTTGCTTAATTGTTTATATTGGTGGCAAGTGACACAGGTGATCAGCTCACCTGGTGACATGGACACAGGTAACCTCGTTAATAAGCTGATACAGGTCAGATTAGTATTGATTTGATATGAAGGACTTAGCTATCTGCCCGTTAGTCGTGTGTGTCTGTCGTGGTAACATAATTATGGTTTATTGAATCAAGGCTTGGTGGAGTATAATCTGATTATAATAAGAAGACTGAGGATTATCTCCGACCTAGATAAATAAACACATGTTAAATTATCACTTTATGTAACTAGTCTTTGATCACTTAATTGATTAAAACATATGTGAATAACAGGGTTATAATTCTGCTGTCTTTACCAGTGTGTTGTAGAGGTGACAGGGTTATAATTCTGCTGCCTTTACCAGTGTGTTGTAGAGGTGACAGGGTTATAATTCTGCTGTCTTTACCAGTGTGTTGTAGAGGTGACAGGGATATAATTCTGCTGTCTTTACCAGTGTATTGTAGAGGTGACAGGGTTATAATTCTGTTGTCTTTAACCGTGTAATTATACTGTCTTTACCAGTGTGTTGTAGAGGTGACAGGGTTATAATTCTGCTGTCTTTACCAGTGTGTTGTAGAGGTGACAGGGTTATAATTCTGCTGTCTTTACCAGTGTGTTGTAGAGGTGACAGGGATATAATTCTGTTGTCTTTACCAGTGTGTTGTAGAGGTGACAGGGTTATAATTCTGCTGTCTTTACCAGTGTGTTGTAGAGGTGACAGGGTTATAATTCTGCTGTCTTTACCAGTGTGTTGTAGAGGTGACAGGGATATAATTCTGTTGTCTTTACCAGTGTGTTGTAGAGGTGACAGGGATATAATTCTGTTGTCTTTACCAGTGTGTTGTAGAGGTGACAGGGTTATAATTCTGCTGTCTTTACCAGTGTGTTGTGGAGGTGACAGGGATATAATTCTGCTGTCTTTACCAGTGTGTTGTAGAGGTGACAGGGTTATAATTCTGCTGTCTTTACCAGTGTGTTGTAGAGGTGACAGGGTTATAATTCTGCTGTCTTTACCAGTGTGTTGTAGAGGTGACAGGGTTATAATTCTGCTGTCTTTACCAGTGTGTTGTAGAGGTGACAGGGTTATAATTCTGCTGTCTTTACCAGTGTGTTGTAGAGGTGACAGGGATATAATTCTGCTGTCTTTACCAGTGTGTGTGTTGTAGTCTTTACCAGTGTGTTGTAGAGGTGACAGGGTTATAATTCTGCTGTCTTTACCAGTGTGTTGTAGAGGTGACAGGGTTATAATTCTGCTGTCTTTACCAGTGTGTTGTAGAGGTGACAGGGTTATAATTCTGCTGTCTTTACCAGTGTGTTGTAGAGGTGACAGGGTTATAATTCTGCTGTCTTTACCAGTGTGTTGTAGAGGTGACAGGGTTATAATTCTGCTGTCTTTACCAGTGTGTTGTAGAGGTGACAGGGATATAATTCTGCTGTCTTTACCAGTGTGTTGTAGAAGTGACAGGGTTATAATTCTGCTGTCTTTACCAGTGTGTTGTAGAGGTGACAGGGTTATAATTCTGTTGTCTTTACCAGTGTGTTGTAGAGGTGACAGGGTTATAATTCTGCTGTCTTTACTAGTGTGTTGTAGAGATGACAGGGTTATAATTCTGCTGTCTTTACCAGTGTGTTGTAGAGGTGACAGGGATATAATTCTGTTGTCTTTACTAGTGTGTTGTAGAGATGACAGGGATATAATTCTGCTGTCTTTACCAGTGTGTTGTAGAGGTGACAGGGTTATAATTCTGCTGTCTTTACCAGTGTGTTGTAGAGGTGACAGGGATATAATTCTGTTGTCTTTACTAGTGTGTTGTAGAGATGACAGGGTTATAATTCTGCTGTCTTTACCAGTGTGTTGTAGAGACAGTTATAATTCTGCTGTCTTTACCAGTGTGTTGTAGAGGTGACAGGGATATAATTCTGCTGTCTTTACCAGTGTGTTGTAGAGGTGACAGGGTTATAATTCTGCTGTCTTTACCAGTGTGTTGTAGAGGTGACAGGGTTATAATTCTGCTGTCTTTACCAGTGTGTTGTAGAGGTGACAGGGATATAATTCTGCTGTCTTTACCAGTGTGTTGTAGAGGTGACAGGGTTATAATTCTGCTGTCTTTACCAGTGTGTTGTAGAGGTGACAGGGTTATAATTCTGCTGTCTTTACCAGTGTGTTGTAGAGGTGACAGGGATATAATTCTG